TACTTTATAGGTATTTTTAATAAAGTATTTTCCTTATACACAATTTTGGTAAGAAAGAATCATAAATAAACGTTGATAATTAAAAATTTGGGAATTGGTTCACAAACACAATAGTCACCAATTTCACAAATTTACTATTTGTGAACTTCAAAAAAAAAATTAAATCGTCTAAAATTATTCTAAAATGAAATTTAAATCATAAATAGTAAGTTTGTGAAGTTTGTGAGCACTCTGTTTGTGAACCTAGCATTGCTCTAAAAATTTAAGTTAAAATAGGAATCTTGAAATGGTAAGTAACACCAACCATGTAATTTGGCAAATATTACATTGTAATTTTAAAAATAAAAAATCCGAAAAAAGGAAAATAAAATAAGCAAAAAACTTTTCATAGTATAATTAAATACGATCATTTGCAAAGTGTTTAGAATTAGCTTCTTTCGAGTATATTTTTAAATCCGTGTCGTTGAAAAAAGATCTTAATTTAGTAACGTAAATATGACATGTGCAACGTACGGGGGTGACACTAGTAGTCTTATTTTAAAGAAAAACATTTAGAAATCATAATTTAGGCATGTGGTCTACATTTTTGTTTTAGTTAGGTAAATTTCTTTAATTTATACACTAAAATTGTTATGAATATTGTTGTGATGGGGAGAGTATGCAATATATGGAGTAATCTCAAATTGATAAAAGTAATGTGTGGCGACATATGAGTAGCAAGTTTTATTTTGGACGGATACATCATACATGGGTGAATTGTGTGGTGCGTATGAGTTTACATTTTACAACCACACACTCCTATTTGAAGGGCCTCTTTGGAATTAACTTTTTGGAAGCAAAATGTTAGTAAGCGCATACTTTAAGTGCATATGACTTTACAAGGGTGAATTCCGCGTTTGTGTAAAACCCGTGCAAGGCATTCCTTTATATGTAATTCAAATATACATTTTTCTAAATAATGCAACCCGGATTTGGCTAATCCGTTTTTGATTTTATTATTTATTCGGAGTAGGCTACTCCGTTTCATTGATTTAATTGCCAAACGGATTTGGCTAATCCGTCCAACCATTTTTTTTGTATAGTTTTCTTGTTTGGCTACTGGCAGTACTGGGTTCCACCATATTCCATTAATTTGTTGCCTAAAACTCCTCCATTTAGTTTTTTGCTAAGTTCCCTAATCCGTTTTTCTTTCTTTTTTTTTATAGTTTTCTTTATCATAATCACCTTCACTTATTTGTTCAAATATTTTTTACTTTAATTTTTTTGTTCAAATAATTTTTGTCACTTATAAATAAATTATAAAACTTAAAAACAAAATACTTTTATTTATCATTAAAATGTTTTTGTTCATAATTTTTTTTGATAATTTTATTTATCATTAAATAAATATACAATAATAAAATTTAAAAAAATCTAATGTCCCAAAACATGTTCGAGAAGTTATTCTATTTTATAAAGGAAAAATTACCCAAAATAATCCCAACTATACAGACTCTTAATGTACTACTTATTTTTTAAAAGAACAAGTCGTCCGGTAAAGTTGGAATTATTGTAGATAATTTTTTCTAAAATATAAGAAGTGATATGTTAATACTTTGTATAATGCGTAAAATATTAAAACCCACCCGTATATTTTTATTTTACTTTTACCAAATTTAAGTTAGTTTCCATTGATTNAAAGGAAAAATTACCCAAAATAATCCCAACTATACAGACTCTTAATGTACTACTTATTTTTTAAAAGAACAAGTCGTCCGGTAAAGTTGGAATTATTGTAGATAATTTTTTCTAAAATATAAGAAGTGATATGTTAATACTTTGTATAATGCGTAAAATATTAAAACCCACCCGTATATTTTTATTTTACTTTTACCAAATTTAAGTTAGTTTCCATTGATTACCTTATTTATTTTATTATTTTTGTATCATTTTAGTTACATTTCTCATTTTTTCATTTTTTATATCTATTATTTTTATTTTTTAAACTAAGACTAATCTTTAAAAAAGGAAAAAGAAATTATGATGGAGGTAGAAAGTAAAACTGGAAAATTTCAGTAAAGTTGAGATTATTATGCATCACAGTGAAAGGTGGGATTATTTTTGAAAGACCAGGTAAAGTTGAGATTATTTTGGATAATTTTTCCTTTTATAAACAATTCTTTGACCCAACAAAGCATTGTTTCTATGGTTGACTAAAAATGTAGGAATTTTTGGAGTCAATGATTTTTGTTAAGATTGACTTTTATAGATGGGTCTCGAAAAGACGAATCCAATGGTATATTTTATGAACAAATTTGATATAAATATTTTCAATTATGAATAACATGGACTATTGACAACGGAGACATCACAACGATGAATAACTATGTCATGAATTTAAGTTATGTTTGAGTTTATGTATTATTAAATTTACCAAATAAGTTTGTCATAGATTGTGTTTTGTAATCTTCTTTTTAGGAATAAATTATATGTACTCTATCAATAAATTCCATACAGACAATTTGAAATGGGACGGAGAGAGTATTAAATTTACTTAAAGTTAATAAATAGTAGTTTTATTATTAAATTTTATTAGAGTATATATTATTTAATGATAAATAAAATTATCAAAAAAAATATGAACAAAAATATTTTAATGATATAGAAAAATATTTATATTTAAATTTTATAATTTATTTATAAGTAACAAAAATTATTTGAGCAAAAAAGGGAAGGTGATTTAAAATGATAAAGAAAAAAAAGGATTTGCATGATGAAGAAAAAAAGGGCAAACGGATTAGCCAACTTTGTTGGCAAAAAAATTACTAAAAATAAAGAATAGCAAAACGGATTTGCCAACTCCGTTTGGCAAGTAGCCAAATCCGTTAAAACAGATTTGCCAACTCTGTTTGGCAATTAAATCAAGCAAACGGATTAGGCTACTCCGTTTAATTAAATTTTTTGAATAGAAACGGAGTAGCCAAATCCGTTTTGCATTATTAGGAAAAAAATGTCTGACTTACACTGTCAGGAATGAAATTTTATTTTCTTACATATGTTCGTCATTTACTCACTTTACAACCGCATTTGTTAAATGGATTTATTTAGTACTCCCTCCGTCCTATAATGATCTTCCCAGAGCACTATTCCAAGTTCACGGAAATTATATTTATTTGTGCTTTTTCATGGCCTATATGATAAAATAAAATATTCTTGTCACCACTTGTTTTGTTGAACTTTTGGTGTAGTTTTTAAATATGTATGTTTTATTTTTTATTTCTATACCAATATTTAAATAAAATAGTTTAAAAAAACTTGAGATTTTTCTTCGTTTTGCGAACCGGGAAGATCGACGGAGGGAGTAATTTATTAGCTTTTTTGAATGTGCAAATACCAAACAATACAAAGTCAAAATTCTAATCATTAACTTTGATGCTAACAGTTAAGAATACATTCTAACCCTAAACTCTAATGATGTTACCTGATGGTGTAAATATAGCTGGGTGGGATAACCGGGTTTGACCTGGACAAACTCGACCCGTAAATAAAATACACACAACAAGAACACAAAGTATGACCTAGACCGGGTAAATCTCCTCAGTCCGAATTATATTTCTTACTCTAGCTCAAGAGTGAACTTTAGTAAGAGAAAATTTGGATCTCCTCCTCTATCCATAATCATCATATTTATAGAGGAGGATTTGTGACCTTCCCCTGTTCATCCATTGACAAAATAGGAAGCTCGTGGGAAGGTCACTGTAGTTAATAGAAGCATTGTACAATCATAGACTTGCTACTAATACAACCAAAAAGTACTGTTCAATCAAAGACTAAAATGGATATTCTCAATCCAATCAACCCTGCAAAATGACAAACATCCCTTTCACTGTGTGCCTCGTGATGGATGAGCAGCGGGGTGTTCCCTTGACCTTTAACGTGATTCGCCATGCCTAAGAGACTGGACCAATATTAGCCAAGTCAAGTTACGTGACCGGTCACCTTTCCTCAAAGGTTTCCCGGTCATCTTTTGAGTTCAGCCCGTCTCTCTGGTCCTCTGAAATATCCTTCGTAACATTAGGTGATGATTTGGCTATCGCCCAAAATGTGACCGGTCACTTTTTGAGGGAAGTGACCGGTCAATTTTTGACTCGTCCCAATCGAAGAGTTGTCCTCATTTGGTGATCGAAGAAAGTGACTGGTCACGTTTTGACCTGTCCCTTTCGGTTATCCAGGTCGGGTATAAGGATATATCCATCATTATCAAATAGGCATGAAATAGAAGAGTTGTTCTTCTGTAGTCTAAAAATTTACATGTGAAATATAAATTTTCTTACACTTCATGAGATGACAAATAACTTTTTTTGTAAAAACCTCAATCTTTTTATGATATCACATGTATCTTAGGACCATGCAAGAATTTGATAGAGTTATGTCGCTACGTCAATACTAATAGCTTGTAGGCCTAGAACTTCTGGTTTACTTAATACCTCTATGCCAAAAACCTTTCTTATTTAGTTTAACTATTTTGTAAAACTAGTATTTGTATGTCATTATTTTGGACTAAGCATTTTTCTTAGTAAGACTTGATTTGGATATGAAACTACATCAAAAATTCTACAAAATAAATCACGACAAAACGTATTTCTATCAAGCAATTGATAAAGAATGTACTTCCTTCATCCTAATTTAAATTGTTTATTTCAATTTACAATGTTTGACTAAAATTATTTTTTGAAGTCATTTTATATAAAAAACGATATAAAATTAAAAAAAATTACATAGTAAAAAAACTACGAAGTGCATCAATAAATCTACAAACTAAAAGTGACATTTTTATATTATTTTATCAAATTACTAATGAAAATAGAAAAAAAAAATAAAATTTGCCACAAACAATTTAATTTTGAACAAATGAAGTAACAAACAAAAGATATAATTGGATCATGGAAAGAATAGTATAGAGAGGTATAATAGGACGACAAGCATTTGTGTGTGAGTTGTGGTTAGACTTAAAAAAAGGAACAATCATTACGGTTTCATTAACCGCCCACTTTTAGTAAAACATGAATGAACATCAACACCAACACAACCTATCAAAACACTGAAAAAAATACTTGTTCAATACAGACATAAGAAACCAGGTTTTATTTGAAGGGCCAAACCAGGACCCAAACACATTTAACAAACATTACGAAACAACACAAGACACCCAACAGCAGCAATGCATTCGTCCATCCACTTAGAATCCACCACGGAGACGGAGGACCAGGTGAAGGGTGGACTCCTTCTGAATGTTGTAGTCAGCAAGGGTCCTTCCATCTTCCAACTGCTTCCCGGCAAAAATCAATCTCTGCTGGTCCGGTGGTATCCCCTCCTTGTCCTGAATCTTGGCTTTGACATTGTCAATTGTATCCGAGCTCTCCACCTCCAGGGTTATGGTCTTCCCTGTCAATGTCTTGACAAAAATCTGCATGCCTCCCCTGAGACGGAGGACAAGGTGAAGGGTGGACTCTTTCTGAATGTTGTAATCGGCCAAGGTGCGTCCGTCTTCCAGCTGCTTTCCTGCAAAGATCAGCCTTTGCTGGTCCGGTGGGATGCCCTCCTTGTCTTGGATTTTAGCTTTGACATTATCAATTGTATCAGAGCTCTCCACCTCGAGGGTGATGGTCTTCCCTGTGAGTGTCTTGACGAATATCTGCATGCCACCACGGAGACGCAAGACAAGGTGGAGGGTGGACTCCTTTTGAATGTTGTAGTCAGCAAGGGTGCGACCATCTTCGAGCTGCTTCCCAGCAAAGATCAACCTCTGCTGGTCCGGTGGGATACCCTCCTTGTCTTGGATCTTGGCCTTTACATTATCAATGGTGTCAGAGCTCTCAACCTCAAGGGTGATTGTCTTTCCCGTGAGGGTCTTGACAAAAATCTGCATACCACCACGGAGACGCAAGACAAGGTGGAGGGTGGACTCCTTTTGGATGTTGTAGTCAGCAAGGGTGCGGCCATCTTCAAGCTGCTTGCCGGCAAAGATCAACCTTTGCTGGTCTGGTGGGATTCCCTCCTTGTCCTGGATCTTGGCCTTCACGTTATCAATTGTGTCAGAGCTCTCAACCTCAAGGGTGATCGTCTTCCCTGTGAGGGTCTTGACAAAGATTTGCATACCACCACGGAGACGCAAGACGAGGTGGAGGGTGGACTCCTTTTGGATGTTGTAGTCAGCCAGGGTGCGGCCATCCTCTAGCTGCTTACCAGCAAAGATCAACCTCTGCTGGTCTGGGGGAATACCCTCCTTGTCTTGGATCTTGGCCTTGACATTATCAATTGTGTCTGAGCTCTCTACCTCAAGGGTGATTGTCTTTCCAGTTAGGGTCTTGACAAAGATTTGCATCTGCATAGTCATTGACAGAACATGAATATAAACCAATTAAAAACAATACGTATTGATCTTTAAAACAATTCAAAGCTAATAGGATTACAGATCTGATTAGAATTGCATATACCAAACAGAGACAACTCATGATCAAAGGAAAAAGGGCGATCAACTCAATAGTCATTGACAGAACATGAATATAAAACAATCAAAAACAATCTATATTCATCTTCTTTAAATAAATTCAAAGCTTATCAGATCTGATAATAATTGCATTTTTGAAACACAAACAACTCGTGATCAAAGGAGAAGACATCCTACCTACTTAAATTGAGTAAATTAAGCTCGGTATTCAAAAAAAGATATTGACTTTATAGAAGGGATAACAGAATATTTCTAGATCGGAATCACATGCAACAAGATCTGATTGTGGCGATGAATAAACAACTATGAACCTAACAAATCCCGATCTGATCAAACAAATACAAGGATCAACATAAAACATATACAGATCTAGAGGCAATCCTAGGTGCAGTCATGAAATCCCAAATCGAACGACTTCAAGAGACTGATTTAAACAAAAATTAACAAAATAACACAGATCTAACCAAAATTCGAAGATATTCAAAATCCTACAAATCTAAACGAAAATCGAGTGAGGAATAACATATGATTCAAAGTAGAAGAGAAATAGGAGAAATTACCTTGAAGAATTGCGGAGAAACCGAGAGAATATTGATATCGATCGGCTAAATGAGATGAGGAGAACAAGAATTGTGAAAGGCCAACTGGGGTTGGGGCCTGTTTTATAGCAGAAGGTCGTGGCAAGTGGCAACGGAAAGAACGTGACCTACCTCTGACCGGCTATTAAGCCTCGTTTGGATCGTCGTTTTTTGGAAGGAAAATGCTAAAAAGGCACGACGTGTGCCTCCAAGCATGCCACCTAATATATTTAACTTTTATTTTTTTTTTCAATTTTCCTTTTTTCTTAGTTTTTTCGTTTCTCTCCCCTAAAATTCCCAAATCTCCCTTCTCCAGCGCAGGTCTGCCGCAATCCAGTCTCGAAGACGGCATCTACGAGTGGGATTACGCGCGGTAGTCCAGCCCTCCAGCTCCAGCGCCGGCAGCCCCACCCCTCCAGCTCCAGCGCCGGCAGCCCGGGAACCCCTCCAGCGCCGGCAGCCCCACCCCTGCCGGAACAGGTACTGATGCTAATTTCCCTTTCCTTGGTCTCTTTCTTGATCTCTCTACTGATAATTTCAGTTTCCTTGGTGTTTTTAAACTGTGTGTTAATGTAGTTGTGGATCTGATAATGGTATGTTTGTGTAATTTCAAATCTCTATAATGCAGTTTCAGTTTGATGTTCTTTTTCATTGAAATTAGGTATTCCCAGTTTCTTTGAATGCTTGTTATTTTTGCTTACTGTGTGAATTGTATGACATAGATGGTTAAGTTCTGTTATTTGAACTTCATATAACATTATTGTCTGTGAAAGAGATCTGCTCGTTATTTTTGCTTGCTTTCTGTGAATTGTATCTCATAGATGATTAACTTTTCTTTATTTAACTTCATATAACATTATTGTCTGTGAAAGAGGTTTGCTTGTTATTTTTGCTTACTTTATGTGAATTGTTTCGCATAGAAGATTAAATTCTGTTAATTCAACTTCATACATGATTATTGTCTGTGTAGATATTTAACTTCTGTTAATTGAACTTCATTTCAAATGATGTCTTTTTTAATCCATGTTAGTGCTCATTTTGGAGCTCAATACTCAGTTTGTTCTGACATCCGTGAAGCCATCAACCAGACAATGAATTCTGGATCAATCCCTTGCAGGTGTGACAATTGTGGAGTGATGGTGCTTGCATTTCTAGAGTATTTGTTGGTGGGCTTACCATTAAGCCCGGACTGCAGTTCTGAATACATGGCTGATTTCTGATGTCAATTTGCAGCTAGGTTATGGCGTGGAAGGAACACACCCGATATTTAGCATTTTTACTTAACAGTTTTAGGGGTCTTTAATTTTTGTGAAACTCTTTATAATGGTTTATGTGCTTTGTAATGTATTTTTGGGGGAAACACTTTAGATTTTTTTTGAAAGCTTTGTAATGGGGCTTTTATAATCATGAATTTGTACTTGTTAATGCACAATGTGTTAATGTATGTTATGACTCATTTACATTAGTTTATGACTGATTTACGTTCTTTTACTTTCAGAGCCCTCACAGAGAATAACTGTCTATTTTACCTATTTCACAGATATTTAATGTATGTGACGACAGAGTTACATAACTTTATGTACACACACCATCTTCAGAATCTTATCACATATGTTGGGGTCTTGTAAGGTAAAAAGAAACTTAAAACGCATACATTAAATTTCAACGAGCTCACATGTAATAACTGTCTATTTCACACACTTCACAGAGACTTAATGTATGTGAAGACATAGTTACATCAGGTTTACATCAGTTTATGTGCGTGGAACACTTCACATCTGTGTTCTGTCCGATCTCACCACTCGCATGTTCTTGCCCTTCATCATTAAATAAATATTGAAAGCAAGGATCGTTAAGAAACAAATCTGGTTCAAAAGCTACAAAAAAACAGCACCTTTAATATAATACAATGTCTGACTATGAAGAAAACAAAAATACACCAAATGCAGAGTGCATACAAATTATTAGCATCTGTGACAAGGACAAACCCTAGGTTCACAAAACTTTAATCTTTGTAAGACCAAAACAAAACAATATTTTTTTACTATTTCAAATGAATATAGAATGGGATCTAAATATCAACACTTACAACTGACCTGAAAGTCATATAAAATCAGGTCTTCTTCTTCACCACCAAAATCATGTGGTTGATCATTCTCAACATGTGTAACAATACATGCTTGTAAGTCCATAATCACCAAAAAATGTATAACACAAAAATTCAAAAAATTATAACACAAAAATTAAAAAAATTATATCACAAAAATTGTGGGGGCTGGGTTGGGACTGGATTGTGTACTGACTTGGGGCTATGAGGGAGGGGGCTGGGGTGGTTCCGCTGTTGCGAGAGGGGGGTAGCCGGTGGT